GCGGCTTGGCAGCTGAGTGGTACAGGGGGACACAAGGACCGAAGGCTCGCCTGTTTCTTCGCCTTCAGCCTTCCGGTGCAGATGCTCCGGCCTCTGACACGGACTCGCACCGGACACTGCCCTGAGCTCCAGGCCGTCCACTCAGTCCTTCCGTCTTCAGCAGGCAGGCAGACCCTCTGCACGCTTCCACGGCAGACTCTGAACGGCCACTGTAAGCCCACCTTGAAAACTCTCATGTATCTGTGTCCCTTAACTCCGTTTCTCTAGTAAGCACCGACTACTCACCTGTGTAGACACGTCCCCTCTGACACGAACACTCTGCCCATCTAACGGGTTTGCTCGTGGTAAATGCACCACAGAAATAGTTTCTCCTGGAAGCCTCATTCGCGACTCCACCCTGAAACTGTAACAGCCCTGGAGATGAAGGACAACTTCCTGAACCCACAAAGCTTTGGTCCAGCTTGGGAACATCAGGGCCACATGGGCCCGGCTAAGGGAGCTGCCCGGTCCACCGTGCCAGGCAAGAAGCTCCTCCCACTTTCCCGCATGAGGTCCAGGAGGGAACTGACACACAACACAGGGACCATGACAGGGTACTGTAGGGCAGCCAATGACAGTATTACTACTAGAGAGTTGTTTAGCTTCGGCACCCATACATGTATAGAATTTCCTCTCTTTAAGCTATTATTACACCACACCAACAGTTCAAGTGTTAAATGTCAACTTTAGACTCTTCCTTTGCACGGTACCTCCTAATGTGTGCTGCAACTTATCAAGTAAACTCCCTCTTGCACTCCCTTCTATACAGTGCCAACCACTATGTTCTCAGAAACATCTTTAAATGAAAAATGAGCCACGTTTGTATGGAAACCCACCACAGCACTGAGGCACATGGCCAACGTAGTTTCCCCACAGCCAGCTAGCACCAGAGACCGCACAGCATCTCTCTGTGCTCTTCCAGGGTCCCGTCTGGAGCCTCTACTCCATTAGGCTGTGTGGGCCCTCATCCTGCCATTGCTTTGTGTCAGCTCAAGAGACCACTGAGGTGCCATAAAAGCCTAAGCCATTCTACTAGATGAAAAGAAAATCAAATTTTACGCCTGAGCTGCTTTCAAAGAAGTCACATAATGGTCATATAAAGGGCAACCTAGAAACCACTGCATTCCAGGCAGATTCACCGGTTAACAGACAGGTAAGAGGGACCACAGCCGAGGCATGTCTTGAGTAAGAATGGAAGAAACATCAGCACCTCCCATCTCACGGTCACCCTGGCGTCCCCTCCCACTCCTCTTCCCTACAGCTGGTGCACCAGGCTTCGGGGCCTGTTTACCCCACTCCTGGGCAGCTCACTCGGGCTTAGGCTCTTCACCGCAGGTCAGTACCAAACCACTACCTCCAAGCTGACTGGAGGGAAGCCATGCTCACCAGTACCAGCCCCTGAACCGTTAGAAAGCACACTTACCGGTAGCTTTTAGGTGGTGCCTGAAGTCCAATCACAGCCGTTGTCCAGTTAACAAAGGTGTGAAGGGGCACAACATCAGACGCCAGCAGGACAGGCAGACTATATGCTGCTGAGCTCCCTGATGCTTTTCTTCTAACAGCTCACAGGAAACCTGAATTCAGAAACCCAGAAACCAACCAAGGCTACCTCAGTAACCATCATCCTCGCACCCCTGGATGTAAAACACCCTACTAGTCTCTGCCTACTGAACAATGCTACGTTACTGAGCTCCAGAGGCCAGAACATGCCATTCTTCTGATCAAACGCCACAACTCTTATTTTAGTCAAGAGAATAAGACAACTGTCTGCAAGACCCTATGCAACCCACCTGCTCGCCCCAATTGCTGATGCAATTTCTTCTTTTAATAGAGTTGTTTTTTTGAAGGCAGGAAAAAAGCAGGCTCTGCTGAGCTAGTCCTGGCCAAGGAAAAGTGGGAAAAGAAATGCACCCTTAGCATGAGAGTGGGCCCCACTGTCTACCACAGCACCCTCACGTTCCTCCAACGTATTCACGCACGTGCTGTTTTCAAGCTGTTTTCTCTGCCCACAGGTCGCGTGCCCAGATGCCCACCTAACAATCACCTCCGCCTGGTCTGTGTTCAATTCTCCCTCCATAAGCCCTAACATGATAGGTCAATATTGGCCACAGGCCCTACCCCAACTCTTGGCTTAGTCTGAGTTTACCTGTTAAGTTCCATGTACTGCTTGCTCCCAGCGTCTCCTGGCAGGATGCCAGCTCTCCAAAGGCAAAGTGTATCTATCGGTGGGCATTGGCATCCATCACTGTGACAAACACCCGAGACAGCTCACGTAGAATACTCACACTGTCCCCCAGATCTGCAGGTGCCAGGTCAAACTGGCCCCACTCTCTGGGCCACCATCCAGGGCAGTGTGTCGTAGTGGGAGGGCAGGGAAAAGCTACTCACTTGGTATGCAGAAGTAAAGCTGGGGAGAAAGAGGCGTGGGTCCCACGGTCCTTGGGGCTTGCCCTAGGGACCTCCCACTAGGCCTCCTCTCCTAGAGGTCCCACCACCTCCCAGCTGCACTGCACTGGGGACTAAGCCTCTAAGATGTCAAGTTTGGGGAGACGTTGAACCAAACTACAGCAGGCAGGCTTTCCGGGAGGGTACTGTTCAGCGATTGTATCAACTAACTAAATATTATCCGGCAAAGAATAGGCAACAGTAAATATTTGATAAATGACTAAAATGTAAGCTCGGGGACTGACTCCCATAGGAGTTGCCCTAACCACCAGACATACATCAGTGCACCCGATACCCTTGCTACTGAGGTCTCAGTTCTGACCTTCAGATGTTCTTCCGTATTAAGGCTTCAGTGCCCCAAACCTCATCCTTGACATCTCCTTACACAATACACTCATCTACACCCAAACAACTTACTTCTACAAATCCACCTTAAATAACACCAATTATTTAAGATTCTTGCCAAAAACATCTAAACCAGAATCTCATCACAAGAAAACAGACTAATCCAGAATGTAGGACACACTGTAGAATATAGCTTAGTCTATGCGAAATCACTTAAACGTCAAAATCAAGGCACACACACATGCACAGTGAGGGCAGAGCAATACCAAGTACGACAAATGACCCACTGGACCCGGGTTGGGGGTGGGGGGAACCCTATGCACACAAACTTTCGCTTTCTGAATTAAAGCAGAATAAAACATCAAATTATCCTGACTCCAAAATTGTTTTCATAACAAGCACAATTCTGCATTTTCCTAAGGCAAAAACACTTGTAGAGCTCACCACGTTATCACTGACGCAGTGAGGGGAGAAGAGGGGCTGACGCGCAGGGTCTCATACACAGCGCTGGCACACCCACCCCCTTTACTGTCACTACAGCCCAGCTAAGTGGGACAGCTTCAAAACCAATCAGCTGTCACTGACACTGGATGAGGACAAAACTTTCTGTTCTTTCACCTCATTATAGATTCTAGACTATCCAATAAGCCTTGAAAGCCTGTAGGCAGAAATGCTAGTGAAGTCACATCACCTTTTAGAAACTTTCACACAAGCCCAGACACATGCTGTATTCCTCTACATACACCACGAGACAACACTGAGTAAAGATGAGTATTTATTCACTTTACAAAGAGATGGTATTAAATTGTCATAAACAGCTCCGTTGATAAGACAAATACTACTGTTCATTGCACCAGCAATGAGCTCCAACTGCATTCCCAATCAGCTCTCACGGCTGCAGCTCTGTGAGGCGAGCACAGAATCTCATTCTGCCACAGATGTTACAGTTCCTCGGAGATAAAATGGTTTTGTTTACATATTCACAGGTGAGAAAAAATAAATCCATGTGCTCGACCCTTCCTTAGAGGTGACCTTTTATCCACACGTCCCCTTTTGAGCACTAAGCAAATCCTGGCTCATTCGTTAAAAACAAAGCAAAATGCTGATAATCTGAAAAGGCTTTGTAGCACACCAAAATACTTATTTATACATACATAAAAAATCTTGAGTCAGATTTATTATTTTAAAGAAAAACAGATACCCTAACACTGCCAGGAATGGGTAATAAAAAGGAAGAAACATTAAATTACTGAATTATAAAAATATTTTCTTTGGAAAAAAAATTCCAACAGGTCATCATTAATATTTAAAACAAAGAGAAAAAAATAAACAATTGTTCTTTGATCCATTAGTAATTTAAATAAAAATGAAAACCTCTTTAAAAGCAGCAATGACTGAATTTTTTTAAAAAGTTCCAAGTAATTAGCACTCTATACACTTAATGATTCTTTACAGGTAATTTGCAGTCAAGAAAAATCCTTAATATGGCTAAGTCTTTACTTTTTTAATTACCACAATTTTTTGTTCATCTTAAAAAAATATTTCACATGACAGCTTAAAAAATAAGTGGCTATTTTGGGGAAGTACTCCAAATATTCAATCTGACTTGTCAGATTACCACAGTTAATAGACAAACTAGGGATATAGGTGAAGTTTTTTTAACCCCAATCATTTTCACTCGTTTGTAGTTATTCCTTTTATGAAAAAAGTATCAAATTAAATGTACCAAATTAAAAACTTTTCACTAGTGCTGTGTCCCATCTGGATTTAACAAAATATACCAACCTGAGATAAGAGCTGACTCCTTCACACGCATCCAGTTCCTGAACCCCTAGAGGATATGTCTGTCTTCCTGGAAGTCAATTCCTGACCAACCAATCATACTAGGATATTGTATTATAAAAATATACCATATATTGGACACTCATGTCAGTACATTGCAGAAAATGTGTCTATTTACTGTGTAAAGTTTATTAACATTTGAATGAAACACTCTTATTTACACAGTTACGAGTCTGGGGCACTCAGGATAGCAAGGTGGCGTGGGAATCACCGCTGTGGATTTGGAACTGTGCAGCGGCCCTGGTGTCCTGGCACAGGGACAACCCTCCCCGGGAGGATGTGGCAGCACTGGGAAAGGTGAGCCAGAGTTTAGGTTGATGGGCTTGTTCTTCTGTCTTCATTCTTCTTCACTTTCATTTTCAGGATCTAAATCAGAATCTCCATTTAATTCTTTTTCGCTGGCTACGTCTCTGTCCCCACCATTTTCTTCAGCCTCATTGTCTTCTTCATTCTCTTCCTCAGTATCTTCATCTTTTGTACTTTCTTTCTCTTCCTCATCTTCATCCCAATTATCCTGGTAGAAATATTAAGGAGAATGGTTGTGAAGAGCTCATCTTTGCACAGCGTGAGGACATAAAGGCAGATTTATGTACCAAGAAACAAATCACTCACATCAGAATCCTTATCAGCTATTTCATCGTCAGACTCCTCTTCAGAAGATTCTGAGGGGAGAAAAATCCAACCTTAACATTGTAAACAAAGCAGAGAGCATAGCCCTGAAAATTAAGCAGCACCTGAACTTACTTTTAAAAATATCACTGTATACTCCGTTATCACCTTTGAATTATTAGTGTCTCCATAAAAACATTCAATAAATGCCTTACAGATGTCACTGCACCATATTAAATAACAAAACCCCTACAAAATCTCATCTTAAAATACTAAGCCATTTCTAGGCTACAAATGGCACCAGTAGATAGAACAACATTCAAAAAATTATTTATATTACCTATGTTCACTTTAGTATTATTTTCCTCTTATAATAAAAATTTTCCTCTAATACATGAAGGTATAAAAAGAAAATAGTGATATGCCACTTGATACAGACACAATCTTTTATTCCATATCAAAGATGGTTTTCCATCAACTTACCGCCCAGGCCATCTTCCATGAAATCAATGCTAATACACAGATTCCACTGCTCTGTGGAGTCTCACAGGTAACTATGCCAATGTACTGGTATATCTAGCCTTGCACTCTAGCTTTCCCAAGTCTTGATACCTGACAGGACAAATTCCCCCACCTTGTTCGTCTACATGGCAGATATTCTGAGTTCTTTGTTCTTCCAAGTAAGCTAAGTATTAAATTTATGGAATCTGGAGATAGCTGGCAACTTGACAATATCATATCTTTTGAAATTACTGGCTTATCTTTAAATTTATTCAGGTATGCTCCTGTATCCATCAATGGTTTTATAGTTTTCCATGTAAAAATACTTTTAAAATATTCTCATAATCTTGACTGCTGCTGTGCAAGAGATCTTTTTTGGGGCCAGGGATTTATCTCAGTGGCACTGCACCTGCCCAACAAGCACAAGGTCCTGAGTTTGATCCCAGGTACCAAGAAAAAAAACGAGAAAGAAATCTTTTTTCTGAATATACTGTTTACTAAGTTATTACTGGTTTATATAATAATGCTAATTCCTTGTTGCGGATAATGTGGTATCCTATACACCTGCTTATTTGCACAGCCCTTCATTAATAGTAATGCAAATATAGATTCTCTTGGATTTTCTATGCAGAAAAGAGCAAGTATAAAGTACAAAATTCATTTCCTCATGTAGTACAAGGTAGGAAACCTAAAAGCAATAAACAGTATCTTATGTCTTATTCCTGACTTTAGTGAGAATGCCTTTAAAGCTTCACTGTTGTATTTGATAAATATTTACAAGTAAAAGAAATTCTCATACATTTCTTAGCTGCTCTTATAGGATGTATAAAGACTAGGTACCTCTGTACTCTTTGACTCTACCTATTAAGAAAGTATTTAGTGTTCCCCAATTAACCCACTAATGTGATGACTATAATTAACAGATTTCTTGACGCTAAATCACCTTATAATCTTTAAATAAACTCTACTTGGCAACAGTGTTTATCATTTTCCTTAAACACTCCTGTAATCAATTTACTACTTAACATCTTTGAAGTTGATCCACAATATTATTTTCTTGACACTGTCTGGTTTTAACTGTTAACAAGGTTATACTTAACTCACAAAATGCCTAAATGGCTTGTAAACAACAAAAATGATCTGTTCTTTGAAAGCTTAACAAGAATCACTCACAAAAGTCTCTAGCCTTTGGAACTTGTGAGAGGTTTATGACTGTTGTCAGTTTTAGAATAGACATTTAAGTCAGTTCTGACTACTAAAGTTTTCTCATAAATTACTAATACTACCTAGGTTTTTAAATGTATTTTCATAAAGTTTGTTCAGGGTTCTTCTGTTTAAACATTTTCCATACAAGATGCCTTATGTTCTTGTTCTCATACTTGTGCTTGCTCTTTCATGATCTGTTTTGGCCACAGGCTTTTACACCTGTTGTGTTAGAAGAAGTATGCGGAGCAAGAGCTTACTCACATCAGTGTTTTCACAAAGTAAGACCACAGAACTGAGTCACTGTAAAAACTGATCAATCCAGTTTCATGCTCTACCCTACCCCACTTTTACCTTCTTCATACACCAATTTGGCCTTCTGTCCAAGGGAAGTCATTCCCTTTGTTTTCTCTGACGCTGAAACCTGAAAGACAGGGCAGAGTTGTGAAGCAGAGAGTAAGCCCATCCCTGGTATCACAAGCACCACCGTACACACCTTCCATATACACTTTCCTCATCTACAATGGATGGCCTGAGTAAAGTGTGGAATATACAAGAAAAAAATTACTCTTCATATAAGCTGAAGGCCCTCTGAAGTGCTGAGAGGATCTTTCACACCAGAATTTTAACTGTAGAAATACCCTGTAACTTGTTTGCAGTAGCAGGTCCAACCTAACTGTATTAAGTTGAAATAGCTAGGCTGTCAAACAGGTAACACTTCCAGGTTAATGACTGGATTCTGATTTACTAATTTCTTAGAGCCGGGTGTGGCAGTACACACCTGTAATCCCAGCACTTGAGGGGCTGAGGCAGAACAGCTACGGAAGTTCAAGGCCAGCATGGGCTACATAGTGAAACCCTGCCTCAAAGAACTTAAAAGAAAATTTCTTATGGGACTAGAGAGGTCTCCATGTTCAGGTAAACAATCCTTACTCTCTTCTCCATTCCTACCACATGCAAAACTTTTAACCAGAACAATTTGATTTACTCACTTGTGTGACTAGGAGGATAAGCTTCCCATGAAGGTGTGAGAGTTTCTGAAAAGTTTTGACTCTGCTTTCCATTAGCTGGTAGAGTGTTCCCAGCTGGTGTACCAAGTCAGGCAACTAGAAAAAATAATAATTATACAAGGTTAGGAGGGAGAGAAAAACTGCCAGGAAGGGCACACTGCAGGGTGGGAATTCTTCATACAGATAACTTATTTCAGATAAGGTCAATACAAGTAGATATTAAATTTTAGTAATACCCCACCACACATCTCTGAGCTAAAGAGGGCTTTCCTCTGAATCTTACCCTCCAATGACAGCACATTATCTGCCCTGTTCCTGCAGTGAGTTAGAGGGAACTTTCCCAAGTCCCGGAGTCCAGCTGGTCAGTGTCCCTGAGAACCAAGCTGACCTCGCCTAACATTTTAAACATCCTCCTGGCTAATGAATAGTCATGCTTAAGAAATTAAAGCAGGAAATCTTTTCTTTGTCTCTATAGAGCTACAGAAAAAAGGACTGAACACCTTTTCCTTCTATTTTTGACACCTGGGCATAAAGTGCTTCATTCCAATGTTAATAAACTTTAAGCAGCACATAGGCACATAAATGAGTAACACAAGGTTTATTGTGATTGCATTTTAATTCGTCATCTCCCATTTAGGTGTTCCCATTCAGACTGTGAACTTCAATGTGAGAGTTAGTGTCTTCTTGTGTAGTTCTAAACCCCAATGCCTAGAACAAACCTTGACTTAGAATGACACTTAAAAAGGGCTGGAGTAGCTCAGCATATAGCATTTGCCCAGCATGCGCTACGCACTGTGTTTAATCCCAACACTGACCAAAAAAATGATACTTAAAGACATACACTAAGAAAGAAAGAAATCCATAAAAAGCATTACTTTCTCAAAAACTTGTGGGCTTTGGGACTCCCACACCATATTTCTTTAACCTATTCTGCTATGACCTTAAATGTTACAACTGCTACTCCAGCAGTAATTCAGGAGTTGATTCCAGAAGCGATTTCCCTACAAGGCCTCCTGGGGCCTCTTCCTCCTTCGCAGTCAGTAACTGGGGTTAATGTCACCTAGCTTTCTAGCCAGCTGTTTGCACTGACTGTTCCACGCGATCACCATGCTACCCAACCACTCTGCTCACCAAACCCCCCAATTTGCCTCCCAAGATCCCTGCAGGTCAGGAGGCGCTTTCTGCTCTTACTGTTCCTTGTCCTCCCCCCGGCTAACATTTTGGCAAAGTTCTTCCCAGGTACCCAAGAATGAACTGCTGGCCTCAAAGCAGGTTACCCAACACCTCCTTGCTTCTCACCATGGAAAGCTAAAGGAGTCTGAGCAAATAAAGGACACTGGCCAAGCAGGTTCTGGGTGGAACCTAGGGAGAATTATAATTTAAAAGCAACCAGAGATTTTTTTCAGCTACCCACTAAAACCTTTCAAGAAAACTTACTGTAAAGTGCAAGATATTGAAATAAAAGAAAAATATGTAATTTTATTTCTAGCTTAAAATATAGCTGGCATAATAATGGCAAAGAAGCTAACACATATAATATCATGTAAGGCTTTTTGCCAATGTTACTTCAAGACCTCATGTTCCCTGTCTCCTATTTACATAGATAATATAATCCAAGTAACAGTAAAGAGGCTCGAGGCAACCCCATCAAAATGTCAGGGATTAAATATTTTATTTATGACACTCATTTCACAAAATACCCTTTATTCTCCTGGGACAAGGTTGAAGACATTTTAGCATAAAAACTTACAAAACTTAGTAGTCTTTTAAAAGGAAAGGGAAGGATTTACACAATATAAAAACAAACTGTAGCCAGGTATGGTGACATTGGGAGGCTGAGGCAAGAGGACAGCAAGTTCAAGCCCAGCCTGGGCAACTTAGTGACTTAATGAGACTCTCAAAACTGAAAAATAAAATAATCGTTGTAGAAAGGGCTGGGGATGTTGCTCGGTGCAAAGGCCCTGAGTTCAATCCACGTACTACTCCCCCGCAAATTTTTTAAATAAAAACCCATTTTACTAAAGTTATACACATAGAAAAATACCTGAAGGCCATGTCAATATATGACATTTCTCCGCCCTATATTTCTCAAAGCTCTTTATAAAATATATATTACTGAAAGGTGAAGGTGGTGAAGGGAGGGCAGGGGAATGGGGAAAAAACAAAAACCAAGACATATCATATCATGAAAAGGCTCAAGATCCCAATGATAAATGTAATTGTATTGTTTGCTTTAAATGTGCCAATAAACTTAATGGAAAAAAAGTAAAATAAAAAATATATTACTTTTCAAATCTAAAAGAAAAAGAACCAATTTACTAAAAGATCGCAAGAGAGACACTGGGAAAAGGTACATGTCAATGCACCTGGGGAATATCAAAATCACTGAAGCAAGACTCTAATGGATGAAGGACAGATGAGGAAAGGACAGCTTTATCCAGCTATTTATCCAAGTTTATAATACTTATCAAAGCTAGACTTTGATAAGCTAGACTTTGACTGAGAAAAGACTTACTGTGGACAGGTACGATGCATGAACCGTTAACACACACTTCAGCCACTGAACCATTAAAACAGCACTGGAAAAGAAAAACCCAAGTAAACAACGTTTATGAATTAGAAATTAAATACAACAGAAATAGAAAATTAGAAAAATCTGATGGGCACGTAAGGCTCTAGAATTTGTGCTGAGAAGATGACCATAATAAATCAATGATTGTATTTCAGTCTTTTTGGCTTTTCACTGAGGCTGAGACTCCTGTAAAAGAGCAACCTCTTGTGGGTAGGGAGAAACCTGAAAATAGATCAAAAAAACTACCTCTAAAACAATTCAAAAATAATTAACTGATACCAGAGCAGTAATCTTCATCCAACCTAAGCTCGGTTGATTTTGCATTTTACTTTCACGACAGATGATCCCTCCATTTACTAAATGTCATAAAAGGCCGTTTTCCTGAGACCAACGTTAAAAGGCTAACACAGGTAACTGTGAACACCAGTCCTGTCAGATGAATCCTCAGCCTTCCTGTTCTGTGAGCTTAGAAGGCTGATGGGGCTCTACATATCGTAGATACCACATTACAAGCCTGGGACCTCTAGTATGACTTCCTTTTTATTTTTTCCAACTTCCTATTTAAATGTAATCAAAATATCTACAAAAACACCTACAAAATTTAGCCTTTTATGTAAAAAAATTTGGGGGGCAATGCTAGGGATTGCACATGCTAAGCAAGCACTCTACCACTGAGCTACATCGCCAACCCTTAAACTATTTCAGTATGGAATCTTAAACAGCTACTAAAGGCTGGCCAAATTATTAGTACTAAATTATTAAATATGACTAATTAAATAACAAATAATAAAATATAAAATGTTTTCCAAAAGTAAACTACATTATAATAAAATCTCAAGAGTAAGAATTATTCAATTTAAAATGGGGGAGGTTATATATGTGACACAGGAATTCTACTAGAACACGGAGCTATCCAATATTTAATTTTCTACCCTCAGAAGTTATTTTAACAATCAACACTTATTTACTTATATAACAAGGCAATTCAAGTTATCTAAGTATCTTACCTATTAGGGTGTCCTTGCAACCTCTTTGTAAGCTAAGGGAGAGAAAAATATTATTAGCAAAAGCACTTCACAGGCAATCAATTTCCATCAATTTCTAAGATACAACAATATAATAGAAAATTACTCCATTTAGCAGTCTATTTTCAAAGAATATAATGTATTCTTTGAATTTATTCCAAGAAGAGTAACTACCTCATAGAAATCTAGGTTTTGTATGAATGAAAACCAGAACAGGCAAATCAATGGAGACAAAAAATAAATTAGAGACTACAAGTAACTGAGAGGAAGAGGACGTGGGCATCACTGCTGTGTACTAAGATTTCTCTGGGGAATGACAACTGTATCACATGGAAAACACTAAAAAACGGACAACCCAAAAGTACTAGAACAAAATAAAAGACATAATGGGCAACAGGGAGACAGATCTTCTTCTGCACATGGGTGTGGGGAACGGAAGCGGGGTAAAGACATTAAGATGTGTTACGTACATGTACCAATTCCCCATGATGAAAGTAAGCATTACATACTGCAAACAAGTAGTACACTAACAAGAATAAGAATTCAAACCCCAAGCAAATTCAACTATTTGATATTTAACAAAGGGGCCAAAATCATACAGCGGAGGAAAAGCAGTCTCTTTAATAAATGTTGCTAGGGAAACTGGCTATCTACATGCAAAGGATTGAATGTAGGCCCTTATCTCTCACCATATGCTAAACTAAAATCAAAATGGATCAAAGATCTGAATGTCAGAACAGAAGCACTTAACCTGCTAGGAGATAAAAGTCACAGGAATCCAGCCACGAATTTAGTTCAGCGGCACCATGCGTGCCTCACCTCACAAGCGCAATGTCCTGAGTTCGATCCCCAGCACCAAAACAAAAACAAAGTCATAGGCATAGGCAGGGACTTTCTGAACAGAACCCTGGTCACACAGCAAATAATACCAAGAATCAATACATGGGATTAGCCAGCAGATGTGGCCCACCGCTATAATCCCAGCACTTAAGAGGCTGAGGCAGGAGGATCGCGGCTAGTTCCAGGCCAGCATGGTCTATAAAGTGAGTTCAAAGTCAGCCTAAACTACAACTGTCTCAAAATAAAATAAAATAAAATAAATCATCATATCAAATGAAAAGGCTTCTGCACAGCAAAGGAAACACCCAAGAGTGAAAAGATAATCTACAGAACAGGAAAAAGTTTTTGCCTGCTATTTTTCAGAGGACTAATATCTATCTAGTCTATATAAAAAATTCAAAAAATTAGACTCCCTAAAATAAAAGACCCAATCAGAAAATATGAAATGAATAAACACTTCACAGAAGTACAAATGGCAAATAAGTATATGAAGAAATGCTGAAGATCACTGACCACCAGAGAAATGCAAATTAAAATAATACTGAGATTCTCTTATGCCAGAAAGAATGACCATCATCAAGAAATCAAATAACTGGGCCAGGGATGTAGCCCAGTGGCACAGCACCTGCCTGGCAAGCACAACACTGAGTTTGATTTCCTGTACCAAGAAAAGAAAGAAAAAGGAAAAGGGAAAATGAAAGGGAAAGAAAGGAGGGGGGGGGGCTATAAAAAAAAACATTTGCACGAATCCTTCTGCACTGTTGATGGAAATGTAAACTAGTACAATCACTGTGGAAATCAGTATGGAGATTCCCAAAAAAACTGAACCTAGAAATTCCATCTGACCCAACTATTCCCCTTCTAAGTATCATGTTACAATGACACAGGCATACCCATGTTTATAGCAGCAAATTCCTAACAGCTAAATCTTGGAAGCAACCTACATATACATCAACAGAAAAATGGATAAAGCAAGTGTGCTATTTACACACAATGTGGTACTACTCTGCCATAAATTATTTGAGTCATTTGTAGAAAAATGGATGTCTATATCTTGAGACATTAATACTAAGGAAAATAAGACACACCAGCTTAAGTTATTACATGGTTTCCCCAATATGAGAAATCCAAAATATAAAGAGCAAAATATCATAGACAACAAAAGTAGGGAGACAAAGCTTTCTCAAAAAGGAAGGGGATCAAGAGATGGAGGGAGAATAGAGGGTGGGGAAGGGGATGAAAAAGAAACTGAGATGCCTTAAGCACGTACCAACCTCCACAAGGAATGTAAACATTGTATAATGCAAACATGTACCAACTGAATTTTTTAAATGAAGTTTAAGACACTGAACTGTGTACATTAAGAGTGAATTTTATTGTAAGTATATTATATCAAATTTTTCTAAACACATTTAAAAAACTCTAGGCAAATTTTGGTAGAGTATATAATATTCTAAAAACATATAGCCCACTTTTCTAATAGATACTGCTTTTTTAAATAAAGGTTTTCCCTACCAATAATTGTAAAGCAACCCACACCATAAAGACTTCAGCATGTTAAATGCTATCAAAGTAAAATTCCTGATAACAAAGAAGCCACTCAATCGTTCGGGCTAATTTTTGATAATTTGTATCTCTTGTACCTCTTCTTTAAAAGCTTCAGTGGAGGGAAGGGAGGAGGGGGTGAAGGGAGGGCAGGGATAAGGGGAAAACATAAGAGCCAAGACCTGTCATGTAAAGGTACAAGTTCCCAATGATGAATGTAACTGCAATGTATACCTAAAATGTACCAATAAACTCAATGAGGAAAAAAAAAGCTTCAGTGGAATTACGTATACTCTTAAAAGAAACACAGAAAAAGATCCTCCCTAAGGAAACTAATGACTAAAAACCACATCAATGCAACATGCAACACATCTCAGGACACTGTCCTCTCCCTGGACAAGGACTGGATTTGAATGCTGCGCCCTAACTGCACTGCAGTTACTCAGCCCCTGGTGCCACTTGGGGCTTTCCACGCCCCCCACCCGTTCCTCTTCTCTCATCGAGCCTCTACCCGTCCCTTTCTTAACACTGTTAAACAGGGTTCCTGAAGCAAAGACAGGCTGACCACTTGTCAGAACAGTGAGATTACCCACATGCAGGCCATGACAATAATACTCTAACCTCAATGCCCTCTCCAATTCTAGGCCTAGATCTTTACACCCCATCTGCAATAAAGAAAATCAAAACAGGCAAAAGTGGTTCCGGTTTTAGGTCAAAGCACCTCCCAGGATATAATGAGCAAAAACCAAAGTATGTGAGGGCTCCTCGTGGGTTTTTCTCTTGCAGTGGCCCCCATGTAGATGAAATCCTGTACACACAGCAGTTGTGTTTCCCTTAAAGTTCCAAATGTGTTCTATGTGAAGACACGTACCCTCACTGCTAGTGGAATAAATGTAACAATGCCCATCATATTTGTTTTCACTGCCTCAGGAATTCATCTATTTCACTTTTCCTTTCCAAAACACTTCCCTCCTATTTATCTGTCACTCTCTAAATGCCACTTGTCCTTACATATCCACTTCTTATTCCCTTTAATTCAGATCAGAACCTTAAAATGAAAAAACCAGTATTTACCTCTTGCAACAACGGAATAACAGCATGCAAGGGTATCCTTAACACAGTCTTCTTTATCAGGTTTAAATTCCTAGTTTGAAGTACTTTCTGTGAGCAAATAAAAGAATCATTAAGATAAGCATAATTATAAACTAAGTTCACTATAAGAAAAACCATAAAAATTACTTTAAAACAGACAAAAGCAATAAACTACCAATTGAATTTACCAAATCAAGATTGCAAGGACTGAACGGAAAATGTCATACATCTTGTGGCTACCAAGAAACATCTCTTACCAATTGTTTATATAAAATACAAAAGAGCATATCTAGTCATGTAAGCTGGGTGTGGTGGCTCCTGTCTGTAATCCTAGCATGGAGGGCTCAGGCAGGACTGCTCCGTTAGTTTAAATGAGCCTGAACTAGAGAGAGAGACTTCGCCTCAAAAACAAAACAAATAAATACAGATCTGTACCATTTTAGAGATAGTCCCAAGCCAGCACAAAGTCCTGAGTTCAATCCCTGGTACCAAAAGAAAAGAAAAAAGAGAGAGATGCCTAAGCCCCCTTTTTCTGGGGGTACAGGGAGTTTGAGGCAGGGTCTCACTATGTAATTCAGACTAGCCTAGAATTCACAGCGATTCTGTCTCCCAACAACTGGAATTATAGGTATGCACCACCACACCTGGCCCAAACATCCATTTTATTAAATTAAAGCTGCACCCACATGAGAGTGAGTAAAGCAGTAAAATCACACTTGGCAAAAAAACCTCTTTAAATTGTCAACTTTCTTGATATAATTTTAAACCAAAAAAGATTATGTAAGTGTTTCTTTCACTTAAAATCTTACAGCTAGATCCACAGGAGAAAAGTAGCTTTCATTCTGGGCTGTAGTAAAAGGGACAGAGCAACACAGTCCTAGTCCTGGCCCTGGCCCTTCACAGCTGCAGTTTTATGGGCTTGGGCGTGTATTTTAGCTTCTGAGCCTGACATGCTTCCTAGAGGTAGGGAGGAGAAGGGAACAAGAGTTCTTTCAAGTCTAATTTCCCCTTCAATGTTTTTAAATATAAAAAGCAGGCATACTGAAGGGCAATAACAAAGTTAAGAGTTTTCAGTCCTTTTTCTTTCTATTTTCTGTTTTGGGGCTATGAGAGGTGGCCCAATCTAGTTTAACAGTTCCTAACATAACCTTGTAGAATACCCTATGGGTTGGATTTGCTTGTAAAACTACTTTTATCCCAAGTCTTGCTAAAGGCACCAATTCTATTTAAAAACTACCCCATAATTACAAAATTCTTATGCAAAAGAAATAAATCATATATAATCATCTAGGAACTGAATGATGGACTGCTGTTTTAATACAGTAGTTTCAATTAGCTTCAAATGACCAAAATATGGGATTCAAAACAAAGTATGTTAACTTTAACAAGGTACCTCACGATAAAGTGTCCTCAAATCACCTCATTATAAATCTCAATTACAAGGTTGAAGAAACTATAGAAAACGTTCCATACAAAGTACTTCATTACTTTTTGAGGTATGTCATGCTTTTGTTAGGCCTTGGACTTTCCTAAGACGTTCACCTAAACCATGAGTGTTCACTGTCATAAATGGCCAAATGGGGGAGGAAGAAGGCAGGGGAGAGAGAGGGGAAGGGAGATAGGTAAAGAGGCTGGAGATGTACCTTGGTGTTTTGTCTAACGTACATTGTGAGACCCTGGGTTCCATCCCTAACAGCCCAAAAACATACATAATGGAGGACTGAATCATGAGTGGTTTGTAAAACCCACTAATGCTAGAAATATAGTGATCATAAAATTTGTTATCCAAACTGGGACACTTTTTGAAACAAAAGGGGTTGAAATTAATAAATCCCCAGAGATAAGAGGTATAAACCAGAACGGTAAGAAGCCAAGTATGAAGGAGTAGGGCCTTGCAGCAGACTTTTTCCCAAACTCTTGCATACCACTGAAGACAGAGGCTCGATGGTAACAATTTGAAATTTAAAATAAGCAACTAAAAATGAATTCTCCAAATCTAATAAGCTACATGAAAATGGACAGAGAAGTCAGCATTAACTTCTATCAAGGATATATTTAAGAAATGACTCTAAAAAGCAGAATGATTAACTACCAGGAAGATGGCACAGATGAGATTTTACTTTTACTTCTCTGTGACCCAAATGATACATGATGTATCTTTAAAAAACATTGTCAATTTGATAAACATATTTACCTATGAAACAAACATTATGAAAATAAACATTACCCTCAGTTTCCTTGGGCCCCTTTACAATCTCTCTCCCTCCCCCCTTAACTCCCAGTCTTGGGCAGCCAGTGGACTACACACTGGTCTATACAATATTTTCTTGTCTTTTTTTTTTTTTCTTGTCTTTCTTTCAACAGGGTTTTGCTGCTATGTATCTCAGTCTGGCCTCAAACCTGCAATCCTGCCTTAGCCTTCCTAGTGCCAGGATTCAGGCGGGCAATGCCACACTTACTATGTTGGTCTGTTTTCTAGGATTTTTACATGAATAGAATCACAATATTGCTTTTTTTTTTTAATATTGCCCCTTTTGATTTGATTTCTGATTTCTTTCTCACAGCACAAATACGAGATTCATCCATTTGTCAATCAATAATAATACATTCCTTATACCAGGATATAAACAATTTATCCATCCACCTACTGAGGGACATTATGGGTCCCTTCCAATTTTTAGCTATTACAAATACAGTGGCTATGAGCATTCATGTACAAAGCCTGCTGTCATGAACATGTTTTTCTTTGATAAATAACTAGAAGGGCAGGGGACTGCACACCTGTAATCTTGAGATTACACTTGAAAGATTGAGGCTCAGTGAGTACTATGAGTTTGAGGTTGCCCTGGGCTACACAGTGAGTTCAAGCTCAGCCTGAACTACATAGCAAAGCCCTGACTCAAAAATTTTAAAAAATCAACAAAACACCCTGGGAGCAGAATGGCTGAGTTGTGCAGTAACAAGAGATGAGTTTTAGGTGCTCCATATTCGTAACAGAGCCTTTTTTCAATTTCAGTCAATCTATTACAGGTACACAGTGCTGTCACACTGTGGTTTTAATTTGCATATTTGTGATGATTAATACCTTTACAAAGGTTTATTGTCCATTTGAACTCTTCTGTAAAGTGTCTGTTCAAACTTTTACCAATTTTGAAAATTTGAGTTAAGTCTATTATTAAGAGTTCTTTGAACGAGAAAATAGATTCATTCATAGGAAAATGGATACATATTGAAAATATACTCCTAAGTGAAATAAATAAGTCACACATGTGTAAATACCAAATAGTTTCTCTGATGTGAATAAACTGCAATAATACATAAGATCCTAATAAGATTACTGACATTGTGAAATGGGAAGAAAGGGGCTAATGGTGTAGGGAAGGTAGGATGGATAAGGGAAAAGAAAAAAATGTGAGATAACAAAAAATGGAAATAAAGTGTTTGTAGATGGGGAGGGGAGGAGGGGGTGAAGGGAGGGCAGGGACAAGGGGAAAAAATGAGAACCAAGACCTGTCATGTAGAGGTACAAGATCCCAACAATGAATGTAACTGTACTGTATCCCTAAAATGTACCAATAAACTCAATCAAAGCTGAAAAAAAAAAAAGAGTTCTTTGGCCAGCCATGATAGCCTGTGCCTGGCTGCCTGGACTACAATTGTGGATATCAACTCTTTGCCTGATTATGAGTTACAAATATTTTTCCCAGGGTACTGCTGTTTTTATACCAATGTTACTACTTCAAGAATACAAGTTTCAGGTGGGGGTTGTAGCTTAGCAGTAGGGCACTTGCCTAGCATGCATAAGTCCCTGAGTTCCATTCCCAGTAGTGCCCCCAAAAAAGTTTCCATCAGGAGTGGTGGCCCACACCTGTAATTCCAGACTCAGGAGGCTGAGGCAGTAGAATCCCTGAGTTCGAGGCCAGTCTGGCCTATACAGTAAGTTCAAGGCCAGTCTGAACTACATGGTGAGACTGTCTTAAAAAACAAAATAAAAAGAATACAAGTTTCTAATTTGGAGGAAGTTCATACAACTATTTCCTATTTTAATTTTTCAAGCTTTTTGAAAAGTATCCTAGAAAACTCCTAGTTTTTTCGAAAAGTTCAGCTTTATGAGGTTTTTCTGTTTGCTTGTTTTGGTTTTGGTTTTTTGAGACAGGGTCTCAACTATGTATGTAGTTCAGACTGGCCTCGAATTCACAGCGATCCTCCTGCCTGTCTCCCAAGGGGCTGGGATTGCAGGCAGGCATCACCATGCCCAGCTCAGCTTTATGTTTTATATTAAGGGTTTCTGGTCCATTTTACAATGGCTTTTGTGTAAAATAAAACTGAGGATTTTTTTGTTTTTCCCAGTTGTGTGTAGTCTTATTTTTGAATTGTTTTGGTTCCTTAATCTGGCTTTTTTCATCAATATTACACTATCTTGACTATACAACTTTACCTTAAAATCAGATAGGTTAAGTCTTCCAACTTCTCTTTATATTATTATTGTCCCTGCCTTTGAGTTTCCATATTGATTTAAGATCCGTTAATTCTTTCTTTCTTTAGTAGTGCTGGGGACTGAACCAAGGCCTCACACTTGCTAGGTGAGCACACTGCCACTGAATGACAACCCTGGCCTCTTTTTTTCTTTTTTCTAAAATTTACTACAAGATGAGTTGCCCAGGCTCATTTCCAATTTGCAATCTTCTCCCAAGCCTGAATGGCTTCTGGAACTTTAATTAGCAAGAGTTGAATATAAAAATTAATTAGGGGATAATTCCTCACTGTAACAATACCAAATATTCTAACCTATAAAAATGTGGTGTAGACCTCCATTTCCTTAATTCATCATTAATGTCTCTCACTTGTTTTAATTTTCAATGTAGAGATATTCATCTGTTTTAGATTAATCCTAGGTGGGTTTGACACAAATAGTACCATAAGGGGAACTTTCAGAAAATATTTAAATAAATATTTTTAAACATTTACCTCTACGTATGCCATAAATTATATAAATAAGTAGCTTCTCTTTTGCATAAATTATACATTATTTCACTGGGTCATATTCACTTTCCTAAGTTCATACATAAACAACAGGTTTTCTCCAACGTCTTTTTCCTCTTCAAGCTCCCAGCTGCACCCCCACCACTGTCCACTCTGCTCACTCCTACTGTGAATTCCTCGGAACGTGGATCCTCATAAGGCAGCTTCTGGAATGGGAATGTCTTTTCCAGGGGAAAAACACTTACTTTTACTTGGCTCTTCGAGGGTGTGAAATGTGTAAATGTACAATTTCCTACATAATATACTATAGGACTATTTCCATACTTCTGATTTTAAGAAGTGATTTGAAGAGCCCTTCACTAAAACTTTTACAGTCTTTTCCACACATACATTTTTTATTCAATTAGATTCCAATTATTTCCAAATAAGTTAACTCAAACAAGAACCTTTATAACTTAAGTGTTTTCATAAACACCATTTCACTTGCCCTTTGACACTCAGTAAGTTATACATTAACGCCTTTCATGTGTTCATGCCAAGAGTCTAAGCTGAACCTCTTCAAGCTTCTAGATCTAACTACAGAAGACATGAAGAACAGAAGAACACACACAAATGATACTACAGAGATGCAGCCAGAAATATCCAACGTGTGGGACACTCTACTGGGAGAAGAATGAAGTGTCTCTAACAAGAAAATTACAAGACACAGAAGGGCCATCACAACCAAATACAGTGTAGATTTTTGGGGATCCTGTTTTAAATAAAGTACACACAAAAAACTGAAATTTACATTTTTAAGATAACTAACAGAATGTAAACACTAGTAACATTTGGTAATTTTCAAGAATTACTGTTTGTTTTAAGCAAGACAATGGACGGTAGTAATATTTTTCTAAGAAGTTTTAAAGTTGGATAGGGATATGGCTACAGCTGAAATGATGTTTACTCATTTCTGAGGACAGCTTCACCATCACCTGGGGAGGTGAGAGGGCATACAACTGAGGTGAGACACTGGCTACTGAAAGCCTACTACCGACAATCTCGGAAGCTCAGTAATAAGTTCCTGATGATCCACTACACTGTTCTAAGGAAGGAAGAACTGGAAGCTGATAACACCTGCAGAAGAAAGTCTCAAGGGACAGTCACATAAGCAAAGATGGCAAGTAAGTTACATTACGTTCCAAAACTCTGTCAATTGTTTCCTATAGCTTCTTTTTCACCAAATCCTCACCTAGGTTTCTAAGCCAGGATAAATCTACTTTCTGCAACCTATACATTTACACATTACATTAAAAGAAACTTTAGGTTTTTAGACCTGCTGGTTTCCACTCTCATTCTGCAATTTTGCCTTAGTACAAATATAAGATATTCCCACTCAGATCAAGTAAAATCAGAGACATTATACAGTTACAGAATACGTCTACACTAAAACTATAATATTGTTGAGTCATTAAAAATGCACATAAAGATACAAATTACTTTAATCAGTATTTTGTTTTTCACACCTAAATTTTTTATATAGACCACTGTCAAAGTGAAATTTATGAAGACTGAGTGAGTAACTTCATACAAGCAGTCACCAACTTACAAATCCAAGTGCCTCCCTTTCACAGGTTCTAGCACTTTTCTTCTAAACATTTTATAACATAACCCCCGAACCCACTTGAATTTCCCCTGGAGCTTCCTACCCATCGCCAAGGTTGTACCTCACCGCCCCCTCTCACGGCCAGGGGGAAATAAGTTTCTGGAGTCCAGAGTAAAAACTCAGGAAAGCATTTTCCTACAGAAAAAAATATAAATTGTGATCTAGAATGCTGAGTGTTATAGTTCAGCTACACTATGTATATAAAGGCTTTATTTTACAAAAGCCTAAAATCCTAACAATTCAAAACAATATTTCTATGAGAAAATGCATTCCAGGTTCAAAAGAATTCAATACAATCCCACGGCAGGTTGGTGACTGTCTGTATAATGCCACCAAATTATCTGCATTTGACCAACCTCACAAATCAGTACATTTAAAACTGCAATATAACATGACTACTCACTCTAAGTGTGTTATGTCACCTAAGAGAAACTAGCCACTGTAATTCACTGAAAAACTACAGTAATACTTACATTTAGCATTTCAAAATCGTTGCTTTCTAACCCCTGGGTGAGAAGAACTGGAAAGCTGCTTGTCTGCAAGAGGTCATCCTTTCCCCGTTTCGTGTCTATATCCATGGCTCCCAGGCGCTCTTCAATGCTAACCTACAGAACAGAAAGGGTAACTATTCAGGTTTACCAGACAAGGCCTACTGCAGTTTGGAGACAAAAAACATACCTCTATCCCCCAAAACACAAATATACCCTAGAATCTTATTATGAACAGTTAAGTTATACCTGACTCCTCCATCCAATACTTTTAAAAATGGCTGAAAAGAAACTATCTTTTCCTTAAAACAGCTAAAGCTCTAGATTACTTAGACAAGAGTGAAAAATATGAACAGAAGATGCCAAGATTCTCCACGGATACACACAGTAATCACAGAAGGGTCTGTGGAGTATTGAAAAAATAAAATTTAGAAGCATAATAAGCAGTTATAGCCATGTTGATTTAGACCAACCAGCACAAAACCAGGCAGGATTGCTCAGACAGCCAAGAGACAGAGGCATCATTGGAACTCAGCAATATGCGAAACCCAATGAAAGTCATCACAGCAAATCCTAGGTTCATTTACCCGATTTTGTTATCCAACGCTTAACAAAAAACAAATTTAATTTGGTTAATAAAAATTCCATCTTCTCTAGACAGTGACCGAGTCTTGCAAAGCTGACAATCTACAATTCTGAGAGCAGCTAGGTGTGCACACCTGTAATCCCAGCACTTGGGAGGCTGGGGCAGGAGGATCACTGTGAGTCTGAGGCCGGGCTGGGCTACATAGTGAATTCAAGGCCAGCCTGAACTGTACGGTGACACCCTGTCTCAAAAAAGAAAAGTACAATTCTGCCTGGGATGAAAAGAGTGCAAAGCAGCAATCTCAGCACATTTCTCAAGATTTAATTTTGGCTCTATTCAATATCCTTATTAGACTCTAATCATTCTTGCATCCCAAACTCAGGTAACTGGTAAAAGTGGTTGCCTTACCTCATTTCCCCCTAACTTCCGCTTGCTTTCTACTTCCTCAGTGGATGGAAGAGGTGGTTTGATAGCTGCATGATGCCCAGGAATCCCAGGCACCAGAACTTTAGCTTCAGAATTCATCACCGGTGTCCTCACCTGTCAGACAGACATCAGGAGTGCAAAAACGAAATGATGCCTTAGTTTCTATGCTTTTTCAATGGGAAAACAGCTTTCAAGAGGCTTTTCTACTAAAAAAAACGCAACATAATTTACTTACCATGATGGAAATTCAAGATAAACTTTAACTGAATGTGGGCAAATAAGTTTTTAAATGATAGTCTGGAAGTTCATGGTTTCAAAAGTTCCAATAACTCATTAAAATTTAAAAACTGAGAAAACAAAATCAATGTGCTAATTTAGAAGATGCTAAAGAATAGCCTTAGAACCATCAGAATTCATTCCTTGCCAGAAATGCTCAGACAGCCAAGAGAAAGGTGTCATCTCTGAAGCTCAGCCAGAAGCGAAACCATGTGGGTGTCATCAAAGCATGTCCCAGCTCTGCCTTCCTCCACTGACCACACAGGAATCTACACGGAGACTCAGCTACGTCCAGAGTGGGGCAGTTTTGTTTCACTCTGAAATGCAGCACTGCCTCCAACAAAGGTATGCTCTTTAAGTACTGAGATTAATGAAGTTATTCACTGCTAAGTTTGACATTTATTCATATATATTTTCTTCCTTGGCAAGCACGTTTGGTGAGGGGGAGAAACTAAACCCCCCAGCTATCCACTCAGTCAACAAACCAAGGGTACAGGAATAGTTTTAGAATCCCACAATTTTATAAGATCACACAGAATATTAAAGGATAAAAACATAAATTAAGCCAGCCTGAAATATGATACTACAAAACAATCCAATTCACCCAAATCTCTTCTTTATTTCAAATTTGTAATGTGCTCACCTTTGTTATAGCCGTTTCTACTTTTGGGGCCCAGCAGTTTGAAATATCTCTTACCAAACACATACGAGGTTCTCTGGAGTTTAAAGCCTGGAAAATAATTTTTAAAAGAAAGGAGAGAGATGTGAAAAAAGAGTGTTAAACAAATTAACTAGGAATATGAACCAAATAAAAAAACAATGACTAACTCCATTTTTATAAAAATAACTTTAAAAAGCATGGAGGGGCTGAACCCTAGGCTGGGCATGGTGTCACACACCTGTATCATCTCAGCACTCAGGAGGCTGAGGCAGGAGTATCGCCACGAGTTCAAAGCCAGTCTGAGCCACATAGTGAGTACTGAATTATAGAGTAAAACCCTGTCTCAAAAAAAGAAAAAAGGGGCTCAACACTAAACTGTTAAGCAACCTAAATACAACTCCGATTGACAGCAGTGAAGGAAATGGGTAAAATATGAAGACACTGGGCAAAGCATATAGTTCTCTCAGTATGAACTTCAGCTTCAATTTTTCACATTTATAGTTTTGAAAGGCTAACAGATTTTAACATGGCAGATTTTAAGGAAAACATATTAGATCATCATCCTTGCAAAGGAAACAAATTATGTTCAAAATAAACAGTCCTATTCTAAAATTTCCTACAAGCAAGTAGGATAGCACTGCTGACTGACAAAACACTCTTGAGGCGGGTCTGTATGGGAGATGGGTCCTATGCAGCACATGGCACGTATGCCAGTAAGGTCTGAGGTCATGCATAATTCTATGTAAAGCCAGTATCTGCAAGGACAGAATGGGTAAGTGGCTAAGAGAGACATATAGCAAGGAGGTGTATTTAGGGCTTCACATTTTTTTTAAATTAATCCAAATATATGTACTAAATTTTAAGTATTCTTTAGGCTGAAGGTGTACCTCATGGTACAGTACTTGCCTAACATGTTCAGAGCCCTAGGTTTGAGCTGAACCCCATGGTGGGGGAAAGTATTCTTCCTGAGCCCAACAAGAGCTTGCTTGGCCTGTAACATTCCACTCAGCCTCCCTGAAGGTCTAAGTGTTATAAATGCAAGCTTTAAAAAAATCACCTCTTCAAATGCTACTAACTCACAAGTTCTCCAAGAAACTTCTATGGTTAACGATGGTAAGTTATTGTACCGCCTGTTACACTTCCACTTACAGACTCCGATGGGTACCACACTAAGGGCTCCTGTTGTTGAGATCTACATTTTATGTGATCCAATACAAGTCACATCTACACTGAGGCAACAACAGCTACTAAGAATATGTAGCTTCTAAGCAGGTGAACGGTGGCTAGTCCAAACTGACAACTATAAATGTAAAATACACATCAGATTTCCAAGACAGAGTATCACAAGGACGGGAAAGTGACATTAAATATCTTGATAATGCTTAATCCTTTATGTCAGCTTGATGTAAAAATGAAGTTTTAGGTGCTATGAATAAAACAAACATAGTTCTCACAAATGAAAATAAAACACCCAGTGAAAGGTCCACTGGTTACAGAATATACTATTTCTCCCTAAGTATGCTGACAAGTAGTAGTCGTCAACGTGTCATTTTAAAAATCATTCTCTCCCAACCACAGGTAGGTGCTGTGCTGCTTTTCTCCACAGGAGCATCTACGTACCACTCGCTCCATAGTAGGCTGAAACCAATTGCCATACACAAGCAACAGTGACATTTTGTCTGAGCAAAAGCCAGCGGCAAGAATAGGGATGGGTTTTGGCGTTGATTTCTTGCCTTTCCCAGGTGTTGCTATCTGAATTGTGCAGTTTGAAGTCAAAGGCTTTTTGCAGTGTCTAGGAATGTAGGAAAAAAATAAGATTAGAGAATTTGCACTAGCACCACCAACAGCTCCCCACCAGAATCAGCCTCTAGAACTGCCTGCCACTGTCCCACTTTGGCCCAAAAGGAAGCTCCATCCTCCCAACACTCTCAGGGCAGTGTCTCTTCCAGCTGGTCCTCATGGCCCACTGCTCCAATCCCCAAAAGCCTTACCTACCTCGGTGACCTCTGCAGTGCAGCTCTAGCAACAAGGTACACCTTCCAGGACTTCTCTAAGCATGTGCTCTACCTTCGTGCTCTAGCCTGGCTCACCCTTGCAGCCCTCCCTGGTTGTAGCTATTTTCTCTTGCACACCTTTTGTGTCAGGAGCCCTTATGACTCAAGTGTGCTCCAGGGAAAACATCAAGGCAGTATCCTCTCTCTTTCACCCCCAAAACCCGTGAACTGTTGTCACCAAAACCAGCTACCTCACTTCCTCTTGCCATCCCCAGATCACTCCCCCGACATTTCTTAAAGATTTCATGGATGGCTCTTTCTTAACAATACCTCTACTGAATTCCCTTCTTAGGGATTCATACAGTCAGCACCCAAGATGAAGACGCTTCTGATACTCTGGTCTCTTGGATCATGTTCCTCATTGTGTCTCAGCCACACACTCCTTATGCCCTAGACATCTTATTATCGTCTATTCCCAGTAAGCATGCATCCTCTATTTCTTAGTTTGAAGAACATCCTGCTATCCCTAACTCACTCCTTCCGATATCCTGACTCCAAAACTCTCTAGACCTAGGACTCTGCATCTCTGCTTTGGTCTTTGCCTCCCTATAGGCTACTTTCATCATGTAAGACAGAATGGCTGCCTTAAAACATAGGCCAAAGCTCATCAAACCTCTGCCTAACACCCTTCAGTGGCTTAGCAGTGCCCACTACATCTGGCCCCTACTTCCTCTGGTCAATTCTACATCCTATGTACAGGTATCACTGTGAAAACAGAAGTCTCAAAGGCCACAAGCTATATAAAGTCACCTCAACAATTTCCTGAATGTTTGAAAATAAGCTCATACTACTTTCATGATGAGTCTGTATTTAAATTCCTATGCGAGTATGGATAGCTACTGACAATGAAACGTTGCAATCATTTTAAAATTTAACGTAACAAGGTGTCACCATGTTCACAATGTATGATAAGGTTTGGCAAACTTCTGAAAAGGGACAGAACTGAACATTCCAAGATTTCTGGGCCACACGTGGTATCTAATGAATCTGTCTCTAACACATATCTTGCTAAACTCTGACCTATGACTACGGTACTACACACCTACCAACACTACCCCACTCTATATTAAAACAGCACTATGCAGAGAAAGCATCTGACAAAATTCAACACCAATTCATGATAAAAACCCTGCAAAAAATTGGAATACATGGTCTATATCTCAACTTAATAAAGGCTATCTATGAAAAACCAACATCCAACATCATATTAAATGGCAAAAAACTGAAAACCTTCACGTTAAAATCAGGAACAAGACAAGGATGCCCATTATCACCACTCCTCTTTGATATAGTTCTGGAAATATAAGCCACAGCACTTAGACAAGAGAAAGAAATTAAAGCAATAAAGATAGGAAAGGAAGAAGTTAAACTGTCATTATTTGTTGACGATATGATACTCTACATTGAAGACCCAAAAAAACTCCACCAAAGATTTCTAGACTTAATAGTCACTTTCAACAGAGTAGCTGGATACAAGGTCAACACTCACAAATAAATAGCCTTCTTGTATACAAATAGCAGACTCACTGAGAGAGAAATTAGGGAAACAATTCCTTTCACAATAGCATCCAAAAAAATGAAGTATCTATGAATCAATCTAACGAAAGAAGCAAAAGACCTCTACTCTGAAAACTACAATACTCTGAAAAAAGATAGAAGAGGATATAAGAAAATGGACAGATATCCCCTGCTCCTGGGTAGGAAGAATCAACATAGTGAAAATGGCCATACTACCAAAACTGCTATATAGATTCAATGCAATGCCAATTGAAATTCCAACACTGTATTTCACAGAACTAGAAAAAAAGAATCCAAAAATTCATTTGGAACCAGAAGAGACCTAGAATAGCAAAAGCCATCGTAGGCAATAGAGACATGGCAGCGGGTATAACAATCCCCAATTTGAAACTACACTACAAGGCCACTGTGATAAAAACAGCATGGTACTGGCAAAGAAACAGACCTGAGGATCAGTGGAACAGACTGGAAGATACAAAAACAAATCCAGATGTACTCAGCTACCTCATCTTTGACAAAGGAGCCAACCATCCTCACTGGAGGCAAGATAGTCTCTTTAATAAATGGTGTTGGAAAAACTGGATTTCAACATGCCAAAGATTAAAACCAGACCCTTATCTTTCACCATGCACTAAACTAAAATCCAAGTGGATTAAAGATTTAAATATTAAAAAAGAGTCACTAAATTTGCTGGAAGAAAAGTTAGGCAGAACTCTTGAACACACTGGCATATGAAAAGACTTTATGAACAAATCCTCAGTAGCATGGGAACTAGCAGAAAGAATCAACAACCGGGATCTCATTTTATTAGAAGCTTCTACACTGCAAAAGAAACTATGAACAGAACTAAAAGGCAACCTACAATGTGGGAAAAAACTTTTACCAGCTGCTCCTCAAAGGACTATTATCTAGAATATATAAAGAACTCAAAACAATCAGCCCCCACAAATATAAAGATCCAATTCAAAAATGGGCATCTGAAATGAACAGACATTCCTCAGACAAAGAAGTAAAAGCAGCAAGTAAATATATGAAAAAATGTTCCACATCACTGGTCATTTGAGAGATACAGATGAAAACAACACTGAGATTCCACCTCACCCCACAAAAAATGGTTGCTATCAAGAAATGTTGGTGGGGTTGTGGGGAGAAAGGAACCCTTCTCCATTGTTGGTGGGAGTGCAGACTGCTGCAACCACTATGGAAGTCAATATGGAGATACCTCAAAGAGCTGGGACTAGAGGTTCCATTTGACCCAGACATCCCTCTACTGGGTATCTTTCCAAAAGAATTAAAAGAATCATATCACAGTAATATATGCATACCTATGTTTATAGCGGCAGTTTGTAATAGTTAAAACTTGGAAACAGCCCATTTGCCCAACAGCTGGAGACTGGATAAAGATGTGTTTTTTCTATAAAATGGAATACTACTCAGCCATAAAGAATGAGAAATTAGATTCATTCACAGGAAAATGGATACATATTGAGGATATATTCCTAAGTGAAATACATAAGTCACACATGTGTAAATACCAAATAGTTTCTCTGGTGAGAAAAACTCTAATAGTACGTAAGATCCTAATGATATAATTGACAATGTGAAATAGGAAGAAAAGGGCTAATGGTGTAGGGAAAGCTGGAAGGGTAGGGGAAAGGTAATAAGGAGAAAAAAATATGAAAAAATGGAAATAATGTGTTTGTAAATGGGGAGGGGAGGGGGGGATGGAGGGAGGGCAGGGATAAGGGGAATGAGAACCAAGACCTGTCATGTAGAGGTACAAGATCCCAGTGATTAATGTAACTGTACTGTATACCTAAAATGTACCAATAAACTCAATGAGAGAAAAAAATAAAATAAAATAAAAATAGAACAGCTCTGCCACACTGTATGATCCACAAGACCTGTTGTAGAGGTACAAGATCCCAGTGATTAATGTAACTGTACTGTATACCTAAAATGTACCAATAAACTCAATGAGAGAAAAAAATAAAATAAAATAAAAATAGAACAGCTCTGCCACACTGTATGATCCCTACATATATAGGCAAAGGAAAACAAAACTATCTGGAAAATAGAATTAAATTATCACCAAAGTAGTTCAGCAAATCTCAAACTGAGCAACTTTCTTTTTAGAATTAATTTTTAGAATTTATCAAGCATGCATCATAAAAGCCACTCTCCTGAGCCAGGCAGGGTGATGCATGCGAACAGCTCTGCCACACTGTATGATCCCTACATATATAGGCAAAGGAAAACAAAACTATCTGGAAAATAGAATTAAATTATCACCAAAGTAGTTCAGCAAATCTCAAACTGAGCAACTTTCTTTTTAGAATTAATTTTTAGAATTTATCAAGCATGCATCATAAAAGCCACTCTCCTGAGCCAGGCAGGGTGATGCATGCCTGTAAGTGAAGCACTTGGTAGGCTGAGCCAGGAGGATCACCTTGAGTTTAAGGCCAGCCTGAATTACCCAGACTCTGTTTCCAAAAGCAAAACAAAGCAAAAACAAAATGCTACTCTCCTAAACACAAGTAAATGAAACGGTTCACAACTCCCAAAACTTGACACCTTACTACATTCAAACAGAGAAAGACTCAAGAATGCTGTTTAAGCCTGGTGCAGTGAGTGACACAAGCCTGTAATCCCAACACTGGGAAAGCTGAGCAGGAGGACTGCAAATTTGAGTCCCACCTGGGCAACTCAACAAGACTTTGTATCATAAATAAAGCTCTTTAAAAAGTACTTGGGATGTAGCTCAATGCAAAGCCCTGAGGGGTTCAATGTCTCGTACTAGAAAAAAAAATCTAAATGAACAGTACTATCAGGCAAGAACAAAGACGGAACACAGAAAATGCGTTCTGACTAGGGCACTTACCCATTTAACACATGTTCGAAAAGATGGACTTGACCATCTCTGCAGACAACAGCTAACTTCACAGGCTGGAAGAAAAACACCGCTGATTAATAAGTAATGCACTGTAGTCCCCAGTCTAACTTAGGAAACGCTAAACTCTCTTCTCATCCCTTTTAATAAGCAGAGAAAAATTTAGAAGAGTGAGGACATATTTAAAAATAATTATCTCTGACAAAACAGCAATAGTAACATTGCCGTCACAATTCTAAATGAATGTGTAGAAGACGACACAGGCACAGGGACAGAGCTTCCAAGTGAGAGGAACGAAGTGCCAAGTGCAGAGCTCAGCAACACAGGCCACACACGCCCCACAGGCAGCGCAGCCTCAGCGGCTGCTGAGAACTATCTGTAGCTGGGAAGGGATGGGCTGGGACCCTAAACCCCACTCCTCCCTTCTTCCTGTCTACTGTCAGTTCCTGGAACCTCTTCTCTGGATTCTTCCAGGCACCACACTTGCAGCTAGGCACCCACTCCCAGAATCTACAGAGCAATTTACTTCAAGTTCTGAAAACATCATTTTTTTTCTTTTTTTGGTACCAGGGTTTGAACACAGGACTTTATACTCACAAGGCAAGCAGTGGCACCACTGACCTAAATGCCCAGCTTCTGAAAGCTTCTCAAAAAAGGGCCGAAGATTTAGCTCAGTGGTGCCAGCACCTGCCTCACAAGTGCAAGGTCTTGACTTCAATTCCCGGTACCAAAAAAGAAAAAAGAAAGCTTAAATGAATATGGAGCACTTCCAGAAAGTTGCTATCCCTATTCTGATAAATTTAATGAGAGAATTCAGAGAGTAACTGAAAATGTTTTAAGACTAATACGGCATTGTGAAAGCACTCTTAAAATTTTTAAAGGTATTTTCTGGTATATTTAAAGACATGAGGCCAGACGTAGTGCAAGCCTCTAATCCCAGCACTTGGGAGGCTGAAGCAGAAGGACTGACTGCTGCAAGTGTGAGGTCAGCCTGGGCTACATAGTGAGTTCAAGGCCAGTCTGAATTGTGAACCAATACTGTCTCAAAAAAAGAAGATTGGATTCCTATTGGTTTCTAAAAATACCTAAAATGACTTGTCGATCTCCTTGCCACCTGTCTGGTCCATAAAAACGAGGCTCTTACAGGGAATTCACTGATCTCACCAACACCCCAACTTCCACTTCATAGCAGAAGACCACGTTTGTTGGCACAGCAGTACAACTAACATGTAAACCAGCCTCTTTTGATTTTTAAACCAATGCTTCTTCACCTACACTTCTCAAAAATATTAAAACACAACAAAAAAAGTCTGAATTGTCTCTAAATCTCAGTTTGGGGGTTATGCAATGTAGGTGTTTCAGAATTTACACTGGATTTAACGTGAAATTTAAGCTTTCATTTTAAAAGACTGTGTCCAAATGGCAATCTTACATAGCTTTAGTAAAAAAAATATATATATGAATATGAAGAACTTCAATAAAGTCAGGTTTAATGGTGAACTATGCAAATCACGAACTCTTCTACATGAAAAATCCTTAAATATAAAAAAAGCATTAAACAAGAAAGTATCACTCTTGTAACAAAATACACCTTAGTTGGGACCCACATGATTTTAAAATTTAAAAATGCATTTGATATAGCAATCATATATGATTATTTATATGTTCCTGTTATCAAAATCTCTTATCAACAATTATTCTTAATTCACATAATAGATTTTAAAATGTACTACCCTTTGTACGTAAAAGTTTCCCTTTCCTCCCATAAAAAACCACAGTGAAGGGCTGGGGATTTAGCTCAGTGGTTCTGCTGTCTGCCTCCCAAGTACAAGGTCCCAAGTTCAATCCCCGGTACCAAAAAAAACACACAAAAAACCAAAAAGAAACCACAGTGATTTAGTCTTTCTTCAATAATCTAAGATGATTTGGGTTACACTTTTTGTCAAATTTTGATATTTAAAATAATGTATGTAAAATCCAAAGCCATTTCTTAAAACAAAACAAAACAAAAAAACCTTCAAGCCACTTACCTCTTCTTTGTTTTCTGACAAAGTCAAGTCAATGTATACAGGTTCATCTGTAAGGGTAAAGGATATCACTGCATTCTTTTCCTTGTTTTCTGACCGGACCTGCCTAGATAACAAAACTAGGCGTTAGATCACCCACAGGGAGTCACGGTCTCAGAATTTCAGTAACTTCCACTTTTGAAAGCTAAATTAGGTCAGTAAAGATCTCAATAAGAGAAGTATTCACATCACAACCAAATTAACACATTTGCTTAGAAAAAAAAGAATACTTTTCGGCAAATGTAAATAACATTATTCTTTTCTTTAATCTATTTGTCTATCTTAATGTCAATCCCACTGCCTTGATTACTGTAGCCTCATAACAATAAGTCTTGAATCATGAATCAGCCAATGCCCGGTCTCTAGATTCTTCTTTTTCAAAGTTATCTAGACTATTCTATGTTCTTTCCATTTCTATTGAAACTTCAGAACCAATTTGTCAACTTCTACAAATAATGCTACAGGGATTTCTGGCTTTGTTTGCATTGAATCTATGATCAATTTGGGAATTAACTTCCTTACAACAGAGATTTCTGGCTTTGTTTGCAATGAATCTATGATCAATTTGGGAAGAATTAACTTCCTTACAACACTGAGAAAACAGTCCAGAAGCAGACATTCTGCACACACGCGCACGCACGTACAACACTCATCACTCAGGGACTCCGTATGTATAGATGCGCCTACTTGCTAAACTGTACTTGTAACCCCGGCATCACTGCTTGTGGGGTTTCATGCTCGTTTCACTGCAGACCAGTGGGAAACCTGAACTGCCCAGTGCTCAGTATTCTCAGGACATCACACAGGGCTGCTCTCCGTCTTCTTACTTCAGTTCACACCACAAACAAGTGTCTACCTAGTCTCGTGCCTTTTGCACTTCTGTGCTTTTTGCTGACTTCAGTGTTCAGTGTAAAGTGTTCCCCAAAAGACGTTCATGTGTTGTATATAGAGTGTCCCTAAGCACAGGAAGGCTACAGATATATTTTCTTCATATGTTAGATAAATGTCACGACTTAGGCAAGCTGCATTCAGGCATTAGTCATGGTGCTTTTGAGTCTGATGTCAATCAGTCAAAACCTTATACTAAATAAAGTGGCTTAGGCCGGGCGTGGTGGCACATGCCTGTAATCCCAGCACTTGGGAGGCTGAGGCAGGAGGATCGCTGTGAGTTGAGACCAGCCTGGGCTACATAGTGAGTTCCAGGTCAGTCTCAACTACATAGTGAGACCCTGTCTCAAAAAACAAAAAAAAACCAAACAAATTAAATAAGGTGGCTTAAACAGATAAGGTTATATGTTGATCAGAAAAGAAAAAAATTCCTCCAAGGAGTATATATTCACTAAATCAGCACTCATGGGGACTTTACAGACCACAACTATGAATAAACAAATGCATACACACACACACACACACACACACACACACACGCGCATGTATATATAAACATACATACGTATAAATACACATGCATATATATAAACACATACATACGTAAAAATACACATGCACATATACAAAATCGATTCAGTGAAGATAGTATCTTCAACAAATAGTGCTGCAATCACTGGAGGATAACTAGCGTAACCCAAAACAACTATAAACATCACTAGGATTATGAAAATGTACTTTATCCCAATGAAAAGCTACTGCCCATCTATTAGAATAGTTTAAAACAGCCGGGTGTGGTGGCACACGCCTGTAATCCCAGCACTCGGGAGCACTGAGGCAGGTCAGGAGGTTCGCTGTGCTGTGAGTTCGAGACCAGCCTGGGCTACATAGTGAGTTCCAGGTCAGTCTCAACTACATAGTGACACCCTGTCTCAAAAAACCAAAAAACAATAACAAAAAACAAACAAACAAAACAAAAGAATAGTTTAAAACACCATACCAAGTGTTATAGAGGATATGAAATTCGTACTCTCTTACACTGTTGGTAGGAATGTAAACTGGTAAACCACTTTAAAAAAATAAATCTGCCTTTAAAAGTTAAATGGTCTCGCATAACTAAATGAGTGAGTGAGTGAGTGACTGGGGTGCAGCTCAATGCAAAGCTGAGTTCAATCCACAGCCCAATTAAAAAAAAAAAGTTAAGTGTCACCTATTAAACAAGCCAAGCTACTCAACTCTTAGGTTTTTACTGAAGGGAAATGCTGGCACACAAATGTCTGCAGCGGTTCTGTTCATAATACCCCAACCTATCAATAAGGCTGGAGACTGGGGTAGGAGGACAATTATCAAGAGACGTGAAACTCTTGGGAACAATGCATACTGTTCACTGTCTTGACTGTAGTAATACAGATGTATGTCAAAAATTATGAAACTGAAGGGCCTGGGATTTAGCTCAGCGGTTCGGTGACCTGCCTTGCAAGCGCAAGGACCCGAGTTCAATCCCCTGTACCAAAAAAAAAAAAAAAAAAAAAA